CTTAGGATGAGCATTTTGTTAATCAAATTATTTTTCAAGCACTGTGGGGAAGGAGAACCAAAACTCAACCCACCTTTTTAAACCTCTTTATCAATTCAGATTTTCCAATTTCCTTTGTTATTTCATATTTCAATCTCTATTCTGTTTTCAATATTTTTGTCACATCTTTCATTTAAGTTGCTTCATTCTTCATTCGTATTTTATAACTTAGGAAAGTAATTCAGAAAATTTTAAAAGAAAAGTGAACAATAGTGTTTTAGGTCCATTTTAGAATATTTTTTACTTTACAATTTTATTTCTTCTATTTTCAAATAGTAACTCAGTTTTAAGCAATTACAAATTTTAGTCATTTCAAAACGCCAACGATCCTTGTGGGAACGATAACTGGGACTTATAACAGCCCTATATTACTTGTTGTCGCGTATACTTGCGCGCATTACTTGCACAACTGTTAGCAAGGCAACATTAATATAAGTCCCTTCAGCTTCCTTCTCAAACAATTCTTGAAACTTCTTTACTTCATCATTTAAGTGGGCTTCCTTCTCTTTCCACGCATCGGCATCTCCTTCCAGCTCCAAAACGCGCTTGTTCAAGTCAATCTTTTCTGTCTTTAATTCTTTATTCGCTGCCTTCATTTCTTTCAATTCTTGTTTTACCTTCACCATCTCATCTTCTGCTTTCTTCAGCTTCTCTTCAAAATCAGTGCGCTGAAGGAAAATATCACCCTTCAGGTCCACGATACATTCCTTCAAATAGCCAACAGACCCTAGAATATAGGAAATGTTACATTAAAACGATTGACATAAAGTTTTATATATACCAAACACATGTAGAAATAACTTACCAGGCACAGACATGATGAGCTGATTGGCCACTCTCAGCTTCCCAGAGGTCGCCAACCATTTGTCCATCGACAACTCTTCAATGCGTGGACCAATCTCTCTTCCTTTGGCATGCATGTCCTTATCAAAACCCCAGCCTTCCCCAAAATAAATTAGGTCCGAAAATCCTACGTCAGCCTCAACGAATTTCCTCTTCTGCCCCCTTGCGGAGTTTTCCACCTCTTTATTTTCAAGAGGGACAACATGGGTGGTGGAAGATGGAGGACCTGGCGACTTCATTCGCGTGGCAGCACCGTCACTCGATTTGGCACCAACTGAAGTAGACATAGTGTGGGCCGCGTTAGGAGCAGAAAGACTGGCATCTATCGCACCTCGCACTATCGCTATCTTCTGTAGCCTAATCAAAGAAGCCGCCATTGAACTATCTGCAATAAATCAAAGAGTCCGTGTTAGACATATACAAAAATGTGATAGATACACAACAAATAAAAGTCAAATTACCCAAAAAGGCTCAAATATCTGCATCAGTATATTCATTCAAAATCATAAAGGTACTTAAGTAACCCGAATCATCTGATGCTTCACGCGCGATGTTACATAATGTAGTCATCAAAGTTGTAGCTCAATTTTCGACCCTCTAATGGTTGTTGGCTCCAGTATAATGGAAAAACAAGAGAATTGTCTTCTCTGTTCAAGAAAAATGGTTGGGAGTCTGCGGTGGGTAAAATCTTAAAGTAGTCAGTAGACCACTTGTGCACCTTCCTTTGATAGGAAGAGCAGAATTTCCACTTATCCTTTCCTCTGAAAGAGACCCAGCTGGAATGTGGCCCCATAACGTTAAAAAGAAACAAAAAAGACTCTGGAGATTGAAACAAATTGCACGCCTGACACACTATCTCGTACACTCGTATAAAACCCCAGGCGTTGGGCGTTAATTGAGAAGACGCCACATTTATATGCGCCAACAACCTACAAACAAATGAGGAGAACGGCAGACGAACTCCGGGTGATAGAAAAAAATGGGCATACATCATTATGTAATGCCTAGAAGATCCCTCAGTGCGCGTTGAACAAACACGTTCATTTAGGGGACGACATCTATCTCCCACTGGTCATCAAAAGCTTTGTCAGGGGTGATGTGGACGGCAACCTTCAATTGTGCCAATTCTTCTGGAGAGCAATATATTAAGGCAGTATCCAGAACAGTATCCGCTACCCAGCTCAGGGACTCTTCATTCCGAAGATTACGCTTACGTTTGACCGGGGATTCATTAGGACCAATTTGTAGCGCTTTCTTCTTTGCCTCAGGATTAATCTGTAGAGCTTTTTTCTTTGTATAGGGATTTAGCTTTTGCTTTTTCTTGTCACCTGCATCACGCCTCGTCATGATTTCCTTGATTTTAGGTGAAACGAAATCTAATTCAGAAGAAGAATTAGTAGAAGAAGATGAGTCAGAAGAAGAAAAGACAACAAATGCAGATTTATAATTGTCAAAATTCCTTTTCTTAAAGGGATACCCCGCTGGGTATATCATGTTTAAGGGAAAAAGACTTGGACTTCTTTGACCAGGATGACCTCGCGCGATAGCAGACGAAGTATCGCGTGCAGAGGTTGAAGGGGAAGACTCTGGATTTATGGTATTAACAGACCTATGATTGCAAACAGAACTCGAAGTAGAGTCACTCGAAATCAAAATGGAATTAGTCATTTTAAATGAAAATTTGGGAAAATGAGATGAAATTTGTTGAGAAAGAGATTTTGAGCTATCGCGATTAGGTCTTCGCGAAGACGAACCAAATTCAAACCGTCGAACAGAAGGCATACAGTTATCATTTACAAATACTTTTTTCCAGGGAGCAGCACACTTGTCAGAAAGCCATGCCTCCCCGGTCCCAAAAGACCTCGACCTAGGTAACGACCTAGGTGGGGGACTGGATGAACTAGTCCGCTCAGATAATCTAATAAAATGCACAAATTTGCAATTATAAGACATGTCCCAGGCCCAAAGCAACAAATGGAAACATATGAAGTAGTAAAAAACGAGCAGTAAAACTAGATGAAGGGTATACCTAAGATTTATACTTCAGTTGGACCAACAACGAACAGGACGTGTCAACACCGGAAGAGAAAAGGAAGCAAACGAAGGCAGAGGAAGGAACGAACTCTTGCGATCACAGAGAGTGTTTTCCCTCCAAACCAAATAACTCAGTACGAATATGAAAGCCTTTTTTAAACGGATACCCAAAAGGTTAAAAACGTGTCAAGTAAAATGGATTAAAAGAAACACGTGGGAGGAAGGTAAAACGTTTACACTTCAAAACAGCCCACGCTCGCCATTAAACACCCACGTAATTACGGTAGCATTTAATGCTTCTAATAGTTAACATCTAATCAACCGTTTTTTAAGCAGCTAAGTCATGATGATCCTTCAAACATGGTTATTGCGGCAACAAAAGATCGCGCCCCAAAGGTCTATCGCGCACAAATACATATATATACCTCACAGCTTTGCCACGTAACAAAACTGCGAGCTAGGGGGAAACTGATCTGGATAAAATATAATAGGCCCATTGGAGGCCCAAAGACATACAACGTAGCCCCATCCCACGAGGGCCCAGAATTAGGCGCGATATCCACCATACCTATCGCGCAAGAAACTGCCTAATTGCATAACTTCAGAAATAAGGAAGCTATCTCAAGAACTAATTCGAACCCATCGCACCTTTGTACTAATAAACAGAGGACAGCACCAGCTCGCCGCTACTCTATCAAGGTAGCATGGCTGTAAGAGATAAGGCTATTAAGGTTCTAGCCAAACCTGCAGCCCAGAAATGGCCAATCAGAGGCCATACCGCCTTCTGAAGGCGGCATCAGAACCACTATATAAACAGAGGGTACATGCCCATGTATGATCATCTAATTCATTAAGAATACATATACATCTGCAACTTATACTGACTTAAGAATCAAAGTGTCATTGCAGGTACCCCCATCTAGTCTCAACGTTCGCGCTAGCAAAGGACCAGAGTCTATATTCCATCATCAGCTACCTCAAGCCCAAGAAGCTGAACATCCTCATTATTTCAACCGTGTGTGATTAGGCCCGATATACATTGGCCAGCCCATATTGTATCCGGTCAGATCAATTATTATATTTAATTTTTTTTTCATGCATACTTTACCTATTACTCTCCAATATCGTTAGATTAAAATCTTAAGAGGAAAGAAAAATGATAAAAGTTAGTCAAGATTCTGACCTAACGGTATTGGATAATGATATGTAAGGTAGGTATGAAAAGAAAGTAGGTAAAATAACATATCCCAAAAAAATATTAAATAGTTTACAATTTTAATAATACTGATAATAATAAGATACCGATGGATATCTTTACTATCTATCTTTGATGTTATTAGATATGAAATTTTCTCATTAATTATAATTTAGTTCGTCCTAAAACACTTTTATGAAAAAAAGTCCTAAGAAAAGATTAAATTATAAATATATTTTATTTTGTAATTATAGTTGCTTTTAAATATTTTTCAACTTTTCACAATCTTTAATATCTTATATGAAATTATAAATAGGAAAAAAATGAGTAAATTTTAATTAGAAAGAAGTTTGTAACATGTTTGCTTGAGGTTTTACCCACCCTAATTTATCTTTTTCCCACTTTTGAAGAGCATTAATAAGTAAAAATTGTGGTTAATTTTTTTTTTATCCTTCATGTGAACATCCATTTGTAATTGTAAAATTTTTAACAAACGGATAATCGAAAGTACGCAAAGTTAACTATAATTTGAGAATAAAAAATGTACAATTTTTTTTTTTTTAAAAAAGTTTAAAACATTAACAGAGAATAAGATGTATTTATCTCGGAAAAGTGTTTTTTAAATGACACAAAAAAGTAAGATCCATACCTTTATATTTTTTTTGTCCACTTTCTCCTTTATCTATTTCTTTCTTTTACTTAAAATAACATAACTTTACCTACTTTAAAATGATAAACACTCTACTTGCGTATGAAAATTTTGTATAGTAATATAGATAAAAACATTATTAGCACTAAAATCGAGATATTAAATGTTATTCCAATGTTAAAGATCTCAAATTACAAAATAGTGGCTGTGGTGTGGAAGAGCAGTGACAGTGGGGGCCATTTTTCGTCTCGAGATTCTCGTGAAATAACGAGTATCAGTTCCCGTGAGCTCAAAATCCTGCACTTCACAGTCCTCTCATCTCACGTCCCAATCACTTCACAATTCACAATTAAGCAAAACAAAACCCCTCTTTCTTCTTCTTCTTCTTCTCGTGTGATGTGATGACTCAATCGATGTCGCACAAGCCTCTCGATTCACGCCACTCCATGGACTCGTGCATGTTGCAGCTTCGCAGCTGGAAACCCTTCAAGCTCCAAACGACTCCCACCAAAATCCATGACTCCGATGGGTCCCACCTCATCAACCAAACAACTAGGCCTTGCCCTTACAACTACTCCTCCAACAACAAGCGTCCTTGCCTCTCCGACCGTGCCACGACGTCGTTTTCTCTCGACATGTCCAAACTCACCCTCGCCGACGACGACAACAAGCCCAACAGGACCGGCAATTACCGCCTCATCGCTCGCAAGAGGCGCCGCCGCGGATCCAGATCCGTGTCCGGCCGGAGCAGCGATCGGAGCGGCACGCGCCGCTGCTGCTCCGTTGGGGCTTCGGCGGCGTACGGGACTTGTTCCGATTTTCCGGTGGCGATGGGAACCGATTCGAGCGGGGAGTTGTTCGGAAATGGTGATGCGAATTGGTCTTCGGATGTGAGCGAAGCCAAGAATTCGAGGAGGGAGAGGGATAGGGATGGTGGGAGTGGAGAGAAGGAGAATGTGGGTTTAGGGTTTGGGGTAAGTGGGTGTACTGATGCTAATGGGAATGAATCAGGGTATGGGAGTGAACCGGGTTATCGTGGGGATGCTGAGTTTGGATATGGGGATGAGTTTGATGAGGAAGAGGATGATGCAAGATTGTTGTTTTGGGGTGACCATCTTGGAGGTAAATTTTCTATTTTTAATATCAGATTTAGTTTCTTTAATTTCTTTTCTCTGTTGGTTGTTTGTGTTGTGGCTTGCGTGATATTTTAAACTTTTTGGTTTTCTTTATTTAGTTCCTTTGTAACTTGGTGCGTCGCTTTTGTGGTATTGTTTTTAAGTAGGTGCAGGTGGGTTTGAAATGAAAGAGTTTGTGTTCGGCGAGTTAAAATTCAATGGATTAAATTTTTTTGGGAGAAGCTTCTTGTAGAGTAAATATTGATGGAGTAAAATTTCTTACACCTTAATATTTGAGATATATTGGTACATGAATAAAAATCTTAGTTTAAAAGACGAAAATAAATCAGAGGAACTTTTCCATTGGTTATTTGTGATGGCAAAAGAATAGACATGGAGACTCCAAGCTCTGGATAGATTTTGGGTATTCCCAGGATGGATTTGACTTAGCCCATGCAAACTTCATACCCAACCGTGCCCTGAGGATCATGATAGCAATGCAGTGCCATGTAGAACTGCTGGCATTCAAAACTGCTGCTGTTACTAGCAAAGTCAACAACAGCGTAAAAAACAAGGCAGTGTTGGAAGCCACCAAATGAGGGCATTATTTCCTGTGAACAAACTCAAGGTGCCAGTGGTCGAATTGTCTAAGGAAGAGGGTGGAGCGAAGAGATTAGAGGCTGACATCAGAGAACATGAGGTGGAAAACCAGGCTTCGTTGGATAACATGGACTGAATGAAAATTGATGTCGATAAAAATGAAAATCGGAGGCAGAGACGGTAAAGATTACCCTAGTCTCACCTGGGGTAAAATTTAACCACTAAAAGAGTGAAAATTTACTTCCCATAAAATTCTCTTTTGATTCCTGTTATACATAACATCTCATTTTTTAGAAAACTTTACTCCCTTAAAATTTCCTCCTCATTTTCCCCCAAACCAAACTTAGCCTTAATGATAACATATCTGGTATTGGGAGTGTAATGCTTGGATTTCATCTGCCGTGTATGTTGGAGTTTGGTGAAGCTTCTTATTGGTGGATAAAAGGATCATATAATCTGCAACCCAATTTTTTAAAGCATCTTTCTATTTGAAGATACATCTTGATGGGAAGACAACAATGACAATCTATTGCCTCAATCCTCCTCCCCTTGCTCAACTATGTAGTGTCTGAATGAGGAAATCTAAAGCATATTTTAGACAATCTGTTCCCTTTAGAAAAGACCTCCAATTTTCCTATGTTCTTTAACAATGTTGATTCCCACTTTTTAGATTCTCAGAAAGATGTTTGCAGCGTGTGCCAAGAAAACACTTTGCAGATTTCTCAAGTCTTATTTGCAGGATGTATTTTAAAATAATGCATTGCTTAAATAGTCAGAAATCTGACACAAACATACTAGCAAAGTCTAGGTTTAATGTTTGGGGCTCGAGATCTCAGTGTGCATAAGTTGATGGATGGAACAACACAGTTATGTTGGTAGTGTTGTAAACATGTGATTTGGCTGAAGCTGAGAATAGGTCATAGTGTGGTGGAAATGAACATTGTTGAGAGATATTTTTTCTAGAAGTGCTAATATGATGTTACATGTTATATTTATGGCAAAAACTTTGGATGCGTTTGGTTCTTTTTTGTTTTCATTTTTAGTTCATTTGTTTTCCCTAAGAATGACAAAAATACCAAATCATTTTCAATTTTTATCTTTTTTTCCAGAATATACAAAGGAAATGGTGAAAAGAAAGATTTTTTTTTTAGGTAAACAAAAGAGTAAATTGTCACTAGAATCAGTAGAAATAACAAAAGCGCAGTCTCTCGTAAAATGTGTTTTTGTTATTTCCAGTGATTAAATCATCATCTTAAGACTATTATGTTTCCTTTGTAAATTCTTGAAAACATATCAACTGAAAATGAGAAGGAAAAAAAGAAGGAAATGCAACCTTACTGTTTGAATAGTAATATTTTAGGCAAGGAAATGGCAGAACACCAGAAATAGTCAAATCAAATATAAGAGATATTTGTTTGTGCTATTTCTACTAATGCCTGGTGACAATTTGCTCTCTCGTTTGCAAACTACGATTTTGAATGTCACTATTCTATAGCATGCCATGAAAGTTTAAATGGAATTTTCATTTTATATGCTTTGTTGTCATTAGGATTGGAAGCTATATGTTTCCCTAGTAAGCTTTAGTGATCCTCTGTTGCATGTGCCTGTGGACGCACACATATATGGGAAAGCGAATAATTTGGAAGGTTCTATATTTATTGTGTTCTTGTCTGATTATAGTTTTTAGATTTCATACAAATATCTTCCAAGCATAATATATTAAGGGATTTGCAGCATATAAAATAGTAGTATAATTTGGCTGTTTCAGAGACTAACTTGACCTTCATTGTACCAGCTGTAGATTCTAAAATGGAGATGGTTGGGGAGAACACCTTGCTAGATCAAAGATCTCATCATAGATGCCGTCGTAGGAAGCATGACTGTAGAATGGTTGATGCATTGAGATGAGGATAGCAGAAATCTATCTTTCCTTCAACAAGGGACTGGAACCGGCTTCTTTTCTGGTTCATATATGATACTGCGTACCCTCGTCCTTACCCATTCGCCAAATCAATGTCCGAAATGGGATAATTCAGCTTCTGTAAATTTTGATCCAAATATTAAAGTGATCTACTTACTGATATATGATGAGGAAATGTGTAAAAGTATTGCGCTTTTCTTATTTCTTTGTTTGGGATGTGTACCACTACCACCTCTAATCTCAGTCATACAAATTTGTAGAACACATTTGGAAAAAAAAAAATCACAATGAAGAACATACTTTTAGCATGCATACTCAGTTTCCGTTTCCAAATTATGATTCTGGAGTATCAAATGAGAAAACAAAGCCGCTATTATTCTTGAGTTTTGATTACAATCCGTTATTTTTTGCGAGTTAATTCCTGTTTGATGGCTGTTCAACAAAAATGCTTACTAAGCACATTATTTTCGTTCTATACATAATTTTTTTGTTTAAAAAATATTTGTTTTGTCGTTCATATATATTATTAAGGGATTATAATTTCTGTTTACCAATTTTTTTTTATAATTTCTTATGTTATAAAAGATAATTTTATTTTCTTGGGTTTATATTTTTTTTTCTCTCTTCTTTTTACATTTCATATAGCTTAATATGAGCTTCAGGCATTGGACTCAACATAGTTTTATATATGTGTATAATATAATTTCATCTCTTGACATGATAAATATTAGTCCCTAATATTAAACAGCTGATATAATCAGTTATTTTATTCACGAACTCAAAAAATAAACATTTATTTCATCAAAATAATTAAGTTAAAAAAGAAAAGAAAAGAAGAAAACAAGAAGAAGACTGAAAAACAACGACGTCGTACAAATCGTAATAAACTAATAGCATTAAGGTGTTGGCAGAATTACAACGAAGGTGAAAAGGAGAGAATCGGACATCGTCAGTATCAGAGATGGCGAGAGTAGAAGTTCTGAGCGCGTACCGTGCGCTTCTGAAGGCCACTCGGAAAACATTTGCCGGCGACACTCTGATGCTGAAGGAGTCTGCGGTGGAGGTTCGGAAGAAGTTCGAGGAGAACAGGAACGTCACCTCCAATACAGAGATCCAGAAGCTTCTCGAAGAGGCCGGCGAGGCCTCCCATTTCATCACCAACATGCTCGTCCAGGCACAACTTAATTCCGATGCCGGCAGTTACGGTATGTTTTCCAATGTCTTGCTTCTCTCGCTGTATGCGCTCCACCTGTTTGTTAATTTGTTTCTCTTGGAATACATATATATTTTTTTAATCACCTTTAGCTCTTCGCTGTTGCTTGATCTTTGAATTATACTGCATCCTCATAGAAATATATCTTTAACGACTAGAAAGACTCTCATTTTAATAATTGTATAGAAAAAATGGGAATATGCCATGGTGCTTGCGTTAGCGCCTTATAACATGAATATGGCATTTCAGCACGTTTATGTACAATGTCATTGCAATATGGTTCTGTTTATTATCAAGAGGGGTGTATGTGTTTTAGTTTTCTATTTTGTGTTGTAGGGTGCTATTTATGACTTGTATAGATCCCTTCCCTGTTCCTGTGTACTCTTATGTTAGGTTGAATTTACTTGCGTCAGTTGTGTGGACCAAGATTGAGCTAAAATCTTATTTCATGAAATTTGGTTAATATAATGCTATTTGGGAAATGATCTGTGGATTTCCTGATCAGTAGGAGAATGGCATTTCCAACTGCTGTGACATTAATTTCTGAGGTAGGTTTCGGCCACTGTCTGCTATGCACTATCGATTAGGAATTAACCTACAAAAATCTTTGAATTTGATCGCCAGCATATAAGACTCCTAGGGGTTTGAAAGTGCATCACATGCTTTCACACGATGAGATGGGTATCTCAGCTGAATTGAGTTTATTTGAGATGTCGATGGTTATCTCATATACATATTCCAAACTCGCTCATTGTAAGCAGCCATGCAAGATGTCTAAACATCTTATATCCACCTGCCTGCCTACCAAGTGTGTCCTTATAAATTCACGTGCTAATATTTTTGGCTTCTCCTTTCTTCTATTCTTTTTTTTCTTTTTACAGAGGGGCAAGCAATTTTATTCAATAAAATTTGTATTTTAGTAGACTAAGTCCTTTTCATCAATTTTACAAACTTATTGCTGCAGTAGTGAAGCCTGGTAAAGAGCATGCAGGGGCAATGCTTGAACTTCCTTCAGAAGAAACTATTCGGAAGTCGGGATAAGGACAGGAGCTAAGAGGTTAGAACGAAATGTTTCCTCTTCTAGATTGTTTATTTTTGTTTAGGATCTACAAGTCGTGTTGTTAGTGCTTTTATGGGAGTGCTTGAAATTTTCTGCTTAATTCCTTTTTGTAGTAGTAGCTTTTTCTTGTCAATACCTTTGTTTCCTTTCAAATTTATCGAGCGGAGTGACACAAAATAGAGATGATGGGTAAAAGTGTATTCTACCCTTATCCTACTCTATGTTTGTTGTGTGATTGCCTAAGGTAGCTTATTTATGGCCATTTTTCAGATTATTTAATTGATGAAGGTTATACTTACAACCTCTTTTTCCTTATAATTTCTTACAACTATTTTCATTATTGTTCGATTAAAATCAAATCAATGGTTACAAATTGATATCGAATGAGAGCAGTTAATTTGATTTTGATCTAATGTAAGAGTTTGATCTAATGTAAGAGTACAACCTCTTTTTTCTTACAACCTCTTACAATTATTTTCATTATTGTTGGTTCAAAATCAAATGCATTAACTTGATTTTGATCTATTGGTAACAAATTGTTGTAAGGAAAAAAAATTTAAGTACTGTTATGGCTCTGGATCCTTGAAAGATGAATGATAGTAATGGGGTAGGGGAGATGGGAAAAGATAGATAAAAGGGTACGAAACAACGATGTTTATTAAGAAAGAACACGAGATTTCTCTGTTCCAAGGGAATTCTCCCTTTCACTGAGCAATGCCTGTCAAACAATGAATTCACCAAAAGTTCCCTTCTACAGTGGCAATAACCCTTTTTATACAACAAACTAAACCTCTCCCCTGAAGGCCTAAATGTATAACCACCTAGTTACAAGCCTAACTGCCTATACAACAATTACACTAACACGGGCCACTAATTCATGCCTTAAGTACTCCCTAACATAGGTCGTAACAATGCCGCCCCCTTTGAAACGACCTTGTCCCCAAGGTTGGAATCGGGAAAGTTGGCCTTGCATGGTTATTTATGCATCATTAGTGATATCCTAACACGAGCCCTCTTCCAGTTGATGCTGCCACGGTTAGCATGCCTAGGCCCCAAAATTTGTAGGCATTGCACAATATCCCCCCCTGCAACATGTGTATGGGAATTAATCGCCTCAGGCTTTACTGAAGTTTCTCATGCCCACTAATCATTGAGAAAAACTTGTCAGTAGACATGAACGACATTATCCAAATGTTGCTTGTTTGTGTTCTCAGCAGCTTGAGTATTCACATTCCCTTCTACTATCCTGAACACTATTTCTGCAAGTTGGGATTGCAGTTGAAGTTTAAGAACAATAACCCTTTTAACACCAGAAATATCGTTAACAGTGGCAAGAGTTCTCATCCATACATCACATGTGTAAGAATCCAGCCTAATATAACTATCTCCCTGCAGAGTTGACACTAGTATAAAATTTTCTTGTCTCCTCAACTTCATGTCACTTATCAGCAAATTATCAAGCTCGCTGCCTCTATTTCCCAGATGACAAATTGACAGGACATATAGAAATAAGTATTCGGTAACAAGACTAACCGAGTCGTGTCCCTAAAAAATGTTTGGATTGCTGGAATTTTGCTCCTTAACTCCTTGCAGCTTTAAATTAAGATTCAGAGCCCTCCCTTGCTCCCACCATTTGCAATTGGTCCAATCTTATGAGATCCCAATCCCTCATCTGTCACAGTTGTTGATGAAGAGCCCCCACAAGAAACATTTATAATATGCTCTTGAACTAAAGCCTCAACTAGTGCTGACATCTTCTGATTTCGGACTGATCAATGACCTGACTGACTTTGTGCACCATGACTCCATGAAAGTACTTTGCCATTAGCAATTAATGCAAGGGAGTGATATCCTCCGCTTGCTATTTGCATGAATTGAACCTTCTCAAGGTCAGATATGGTCTTGATTTTCCACCACTGATCTTAACACTTCTCCCATGTTTATAGTTAGACTTTGGCTCCCCTTTTTATCCCGACCTTTCGGGATTGGCCCATTAGGCCAAGAAAGCAACCCCATGATTGTAATTCCCACGATTTTCTTCCATTCACGATACCCCTCATTGCGGCCACAACCCTACATGCTTGCTTCTTATCTTTCGATCTCTCATTAGTTGTCGGAGAAAGGCCTGGATCCGGCGGTTTTAATGGAGGCAGCCTAGCCGGCATCTCCAACGTACTTCTTTTCGCCCATCAGTAGATTGGAAAAACTGATTGATCGTTTTGGAAACACAAATTCCACTCCTTTTTCTACTGAGTCTTTTGATATCGGGGCTATCTTCCCCCTTCGATGCTTGATTGAAAAAATCTCCTAACCTTGAACTTGGCGGTTTGGATTGTGGGTGATTTATTCCCAATTTGAAAACACCTATTCAATATTTGTTTTGGGCCAGAAATGATTTCATTTGAGCCCAACGACGTTAGGTCCGATAGTCCATTGGTTAAACCCTCTAAGCCTAACCCAAATGATCTGCTTTGAGATACGGTGATTCCTCCTGAGTTGTGCCTGCGATTTGATAATGGCAAGATGCGACTGAAACTTGACAAGGACTATCAGAATTGGGATCGGGTGACAAACTCGGTGCTATAGCTAGTGACATGATGTTCCTCCCCCACCGCACCAGAGTTTGTTCCTTCCAGCGATATTGCTCCTCCGTCTAGCCCAACAAATAAATATGGGCCTTTTTCCATCATCCATTCATCCTGCACGCAACTCTGAAAATTATCATCTTGGTACATGTTTTGAATCTACTCTCCACATCCCTCATCAGTTTTCATCGGTATTAGTTTTGAATTTGCTTGCACCTTTTCGTACATTCTCGATCCTTCTTCTTTCTCTATGTAGCGCACTATTTTCGACCTATAAACACCATGGCAGAAATAACTTCCTTCTCTTTCCTGGATTGCTTCTTGATTTTAGAGGGTAGTTTCTTCTCCTTTTTTTCCTCCATCTTTAGACTTAAGATTGAATAATTGTGTGTTTAATACGAGCATACAGGGAATATATTTATATTAGCAAGTACAGAAACTAATCTATCATAGTATCATATACAAGATGTGAGACTATTCTATTATATACATTGTATTACTCTAACACTCCCCTTTAAGCTGGTGCGTATATATTGTGAGCACCCAACTTATTACAAATGTATTCAACCCGAGGACCTCTAAGAACTTTAGTGAAGACATCTGCAAGTTGATCCTTGGAGTTGACAAATGCCTTTTTGATTTCTCCTAACTGAATCTTTTCTCGAATGAAGTGACAATCGATCTTTATATGCTTGGTTCTCTCATGAAATACATGATTAGATGATATATGTAGCGCAACTTGATTGCCACAAATGAGTGTCATGAGTTGTTTATGTTCACAAAGATGGAGCTCCCAAATCAACAGCTTTAACTAGATTAGTTCACAGGTGGCAGCTCCCATTGCACGATACTTGGCCTCTGCACTGGATCGGGTAACAACAGTTTGTTTCTTACTCTTCCAAGAAATTTGGTTTCCCCCAAAGACGATACGCTAATCTGAAGTAGAGCATCTATCCGAGGGTGATCTTGCCCAATGGGCATCTGAATAACCACAAATTTCTGTATGTCCCTGATCTGAATATAATAAGTCTTTCCCTAGTGCTCTTTTGATGTAGCGGAGGATCCTCACAGTAGCACCCCAATGAGAATCACAAGGGGAATCAAGGAACTGACTAGCCACACTAACAACAAAAGAGATGTCTGGTCTGGTCACAGTGAGATAATTGAGCTTCCCAATCAATCTCCGATAATGTCCAGGATCAGATAATGGCTCCTCCTGTCCGGGTAATATTTTGATAGTAAGACCCAAAAGCTTAAGCTGATGGGTGAGGTTACATTCTTGGTTTTATATATCTCTAACATGCCCCTCACACGAGTCCACTGGGCTTAAAGAGTGGACAATACACAAGGCCACCTACTTGTGCTAAGAAACTACACAAGACTTAATTAATTATTAATTATTAAAGAACCAATTTAACCCAAAAGCTTAAGCTGATGGGTGAGGTTACAATCTTGGTTTTATATTTCTCTAAATGAGTGAACAGAAGACGATGCTGCCTTTATGAATGCAATAAAAACTAACAGAATAGAATCAAACCAATAGCCAAACAGGAAGAAACGCGCCAAACAAGAGTCCCACTAAGAACCAAGAGCAAATATGGAAGAAGGAGACAAAGTTCTTTACATTTAGCAATATTTGTAACATCTCTTTAATCTCTGCAATCTTGGAATCCTAAGAATCACCTTCGTTGGTCTCCTTTTTCATGATCACTGTTGAACTCTCTTTCATCCATGGCAGCTTCCCCCAAGATCTGGCAGGTGGGACCACTTGTTACGGCTCTGGATCCTTGAAAGATGAATGACAGTAGGGGAGATGGGAAAAGATTGAGAAAAGGGTACGAAACAACAATGTTTATTAAGAACACAAGATTTCTCTCTTACATGGGAACTCTCCCTTACACTGAGCAATACATCAGTCAAACAATGAATTCACCAAAAGTTCCCTTCTACGGTCGCACTATCCCTTTTTATGCATCAAACTAAACCTCTCCCCTGAAGGCCTAACTGAGTAACTGTATAACCATCTAGTTACAAGCCTAGCTGCCTATACAACAATAATACTAACATGGGCCACTAATTAATGCCTTAACTACTCACTAATATAAGTCGTAACAAGTACAACCTATCTCTTCAAATTTAAGGTTATGTTATACCTTCCTCCTGTATTGCGGTTTGAGGCCATCGCTAAGTTACTCTGTATAATTTTTGTGGCACTGACCTCACTGGCGCTTCGATACATTTAGAAAAAAATGAAAATGCACCTGATAACCATGTAGAGTGATAATTGTAATTAACAAGCTTACTCAATTAACAGTTTGACACAATCAATGGACGTAGATATATATTTGGCCGAGTATTTCAGGTATTGCAGACTGCTGACTTCAGGCTAAGACGCTGAATAGTGTAATTCAATTTTCGGACTTGTATATGCACTAGAACTATTTTTAGTTATATAATTTTAGATGTAGCTATGGTCATAAACAAGGTTCCCAATCTGGCCGCTTAACCAAAGGCCTTCTTTCTCATGAGGAAGTGCAAGAAGCAGAACAATCCTATATGCTCAAAATTTTCGCATATCATAATCTGAGTAGTGACTGACCATTTGCAGTCGGTATATAAGGCTGCCTATATAAAAGAGAATGTTGCCACCGCAGTTAAGAGTTTGCAATTCATGGTTTTTCTGCACTCAATTTAGCATGACAGAAAATATCCTGCTCGTTATTACTTTGATGAATAAACATAGGTTGGACTTGCTGCTCATACAAGCCTTGACATTTCACAGACTGTCACTTAGACACACTAGTGTAAAGCAATGGTTAAGTTGGCATCGACAGATGAAGATGTTGAGATTTCTGTCAGAAAAGATCATGCCATAATTGGAAGGAATTCAAGTACCACATTGTTGATGAACCGAATAAGCAACTCTATTTTTAATGACATGAACCGAACCTCATTACCACTTGCATAACGGCCTTTTAGTCAGGCACATAATAGTCAATTTCTTATTCAAATTATTATTATTATTTTTTAATTTTGAGGAAAGTGGTAAGCAAAAATAGACCTCTTGAAATTAATGGTTTTATTAGTATCATGTTACATAACACCAAATGTGTCATGTCATAGACAAACAACTAGTGGGTTTCACCCAAAAGAAAAAAAAAATGAAATAGTTTCCACATCTTTTTGAATTAGTAGGAAAAATATCATGTGTCGTGTAACATAATATTCATAAAACCTTGTTATCAAAAAAAAAAAAAATATTCATAAAACCTTGAAATTAAACCCAACTTGAGCTTTGTGCGCCAATAAGATTAAGGCTGGATTTGGTTACGCGTCGTCGTCTTTTTCTCACTTAATCATTAGCATTTTGGCTATTGTCATGGAATTGTAATTACAAACTAGACGTTAAATACAGTAATGGAAATATGACATCTTCTTGTTAGCTGAGGGGTTTTAGTGTTTTATACGTGGGAACGAGTAACAAAAAGTTCTTCAAATAATTGATGGCTCGAAGTACGCTGAGTTTTTTGATGGGTCTTTGTTGGCCGGTTGATGAAATTGATTATCGTGGATATTAATTATATTTCATTCTCATTGTTTGATCTTCATGAGAATGAACAGTGTAGAAACTTTCACAATACTTAAAAAACGGAGCTTCTTATTCTTGTCCAAGATTAATGAGAAACTCACCTTCCAATGGCGTTACTTTTTCCATCTATTTCGATTCACCGCCCATATACCTTTTTAGTTGAACTCACTAGCCTCTTGCCTATGCATCTAACTCAACTAGAAAAGGTGCAATAAAGTGAGACTGACATAATGCTTTTAAAGAGCCTAACTAGTCTAAAAGTTATCTAATTCCTCTATAAGAACTCTATATGGCCATTCCCAACTTTTCCATACTGTTAGTATCAAACTAGCAGCAAAACTACTTTGTTTCATCTTCTTTCAAGTTCAACTTCTCCATTGGTCTTTCTCTAAAATGATCAGAATATCACACCTTAAGCTATTCCTTCCATTTATGTTTCTTTCCTGCCTTGCAAATACTGGCCAATTGGTATTTGCAAAGGGAAAAGAGAATGTTAGAGATGCTTGCAGAGTAACTAGGTATCCAGACCTTTGTATCCGCTCGCTAGCACCATTCTCTAACAGTGTTGGAAGAAGTCCCAGCAAGTGGGCAAGGGAAGCAGTGTCAGTAACAATTGGCGAGGTTAAGAATGTTCAAGCATATCTTGCAAAGTTGAAGAAGCACGGGCTTATAAGAGGAAGAAACAGAGTTGCACTTTCAGATTGTGTTGAGTCTTTTGCAGATGCCCTTGATGAGCTTCACAGATCTCTGAGTGTGCTCAGAAGGTTGAGCAGAAGCACGTTTGGTACCCAAATGGGGGACGTCAATACATGGATAAGTGCAGCACTCAGTGATGAAGATACTTGCCTTGATGGGTTTCAAGGCAAAAAGGAGAGGAAAACCAAATTGCTGCGAAATCGGGTTCTTAAAGTATATTATATAACCAGTAACGCTCTAGCTCTTGTCAATAAACTTGCCACTACAGGTCTAGGAAGCATATCTGATCCATAGAAGTTCTGAATATTGTAAAAGAAATGTTTCTCCAAGGAACTAGAATAAGCTGTGAATAGTAGTAGCTAGGGGAGTGATAGTCTCAGCAAAGGGAGAAAAAAAAAGTACAGTGATACTCACCATGCTTGTTTGAGTCCTCTGCTCTTGATTTCTTTTTTTCTTTTTTTGGACTCTGTTGAGATATATAGTCCCACATTGGTTGTATGAGCAACTAATGTGAAGTTTATAAGGCTTGGACACTCCCACCCTTTGAGCTATCTTTTGGGATAGTGTATCCCAAGGTTCTTTACATGGTGTCAGAGCTCGCAGTCCCCCACTTTCTCTTGTGGAGTTTCTTAGCACAGGTAGGCTGAGCTTGTTGCATTGTCCACTCTTCAAGCCCAATCGCTCTTGTGTGAGGGGGCGTGTTGAGATATATAGTCTCACATTGGTTGTATGAGCAACTAATGTGGAGTTTATAAGACCTTGGACACTCTCACTTTTTGAGCTAACTTTTGGAGTGGTGTATTCCAAGATTCTTTACAGACTCTACCAGCATTCGAACAAGGAGCATTGTTGATTTCTTTTCTGCCGTACCCAAAAAGAAAAAATTGTCCAGAAAATGTGGCCATGAGATGAAATAGAATAGCCTAGCTAGGCCGAGTTGTGTGAATTATTAGTTTGGATCAATTAATACTGTGATGGTGCTTGCTCTTTGTAATCATGATATGGAATCCTAGAAGCTATCTTTTATTTAGTTTTATTTCTTTAGTTCTGAGTCTTCTGAATCTGATTGATTAATAAAAAATGAAATGATCGATAGACAACATTTTTTTTTTACCACTCATAAACACACAAAAACAGAAATAAGTAATTAAAACAATTTCAACAATTTCTATATACACAAAATTTTCAGCCATTTATTTGTTGCTTTGGTAAAGGCTTTGTGCGCACATTTTACATGAATTTTTTTTCCTATCAAACATACTTGACTACCCCTTTATAATAAGGAATTACTTTTAATCTAGTGTCCATATAAAACGTTCTTGCATTATTTATCTAATCATGATTATCAAAACATTAAATTTTTTTATAATGTGATAATACATTATTATTATTATTATTTAAACTCTTGTACTAATAAGTGCTATCTTCAAGAGCTATCTTACTACTTTTATAATAGTAAAATTTACGCTTGTACGTAAATGTAAATAAGAGATATTTTGTAAAGAATAATGGGATGGATTTTACAGTGGACACGTTGCAAAAGGAATCACCTGCAGACCTTATGTTTAGTGTAGGCCCGTTATTGTAAGTTATATTATATGTATTTTTTTAGAGTTTATCTAGTCTTGCATGAGAAAAAAAATCTTATGTCATAGTGATAGGGTTCATCACCTAAAAAAGTAAAAAAAATAAAAAATAAAATTGTACGGTTATAGAAGGATGTGTAGGAATGATAACTTATTTTATATAACATGAGAATAATTTTTACTATTTTTATATTTATATTTTAGTCTCGGTCCCTTACTCTCTCTTTTTTGATTTTTGAAAGAAACTCCAACTTCACCATGGAAGCCGTTTGTTGCTCCGCCAGCATTGATATCGAATGATGTTATATTTATACGGTGATAGGAGATATAGGGTGTGTTTGAATGTTTTTTTGTTTTTAAAAATTGTTTTAAGAATGAAGTTTGAAAACTGATTTTGAGAGTAAAAAAACAATTAAACTTGTTTGAATATGGTTAGTTTAAAGGAGAAGGATATTGTGACAACCAAGTTTTGTTACTACCAAGTGATTACCAATCAATCTCACCGTTAGATCGATTATGTTGATCCAACGGTTATATTTATTTTCATCTTTGTATGGTCATGATTTCTCATATTTAAAGTGAAAACATTAAATATGAGAAATCATAACCATACAAAGGTGAAAATAAATATAAAGTATTAAATTTGAGAAATCATGACCATACAAAGATGGAAATAAATATAAACGTTGGATCAATATAATTGATCTAACGGTAAGATTGATTGGTAGTCACTTGGTAGTAACACAACTTGGTTGTCACAATATCCTTCTCCTAGTTTAAAAGTTATAACGAAGATGTAATTATTTACAAAAATGCCATTAATGAATTCTCAGATTTACAAATATGCCACTGCAAAATAATTTAAAATAAATAAAAAATCAATTTAATTACGAAAATGTCATTAATGAATCATCTTATTTACCAAATTGCCACCGCACAAAACTAAAAACCAAAAAACAACTTGGAAAACATGTAAAACTTGTTTTGCTTTTTCGATTTCCAAAACTAAAAAGCATACACGGTTTTTAAAGCAGGATGCATGAAAACTGGTTTTCAAACAAGATTTTTTATTTTATTATTTTTAAAAACTAAAAACTGTTTTTGAAAACACAAATCAATCATGCCCATAGTATCCCAATACTACAGAGAGGATTTTGGCTAAGATGATAAAAATTCCCTAATGAAAATGACAAGAATCTTGAGAGTATCTATACGTCTATATGCAGTGGTAGAGCCAGCAAAGTAACTAAGTCTGGGTAAAAAAAATTTAACCAATGTGAAACACTAAAATTTTAAAACGTGGCGAGCTTTGGTTATTTAGTTACATTTAAAACGTCACTAATTTTTAAAAATCAACCAAGACTAATGCACTAACCGGAGCCAACATGGCTCCACCGCTGTCTTTATGAATGGTGATGTATTCAATTTTACACCTGACTTTGCTTTTAAATTTAAACTTTTTTTATAAAATAATGACAGTGAGATTTGAATTTATAATTTCATGTAAATTACTTAAACTCCTCATTGCTAGCTCTAATTTCTTCAATTAAACTTTTTTCTAAGCAATTGAAAGTTTTATTTAATTTAATGGTTTAAGGGAATGAATAATCTCACGTGAATCCTAATCAAAAATTTTAAAACCAGGAAAAAAGAGAGAGTTTTTGCCTGAAAAAGAACTGGTTGCTTTTCAATCTAGAGTGAAGCCCCGATAAACTCTTGGGTAAGTCCAATGCATGTAGCTTGTTAAATTTGCTGCTTAATAAATATAGTCCTGATTCCTGTAATTTGATCAAAATTTGTTTTCAATTTCTACTTTTAAAAAATTCCCATTTATATTGGGAAGATGATTAATTCCCATTTTCACCAAGGTCACGAAATTTGGGCAAACCCAGCTATGCTACAGCGGCAAAGGTCAATTCAAGCTTTCGGCTCAATTCTTCACATTTTTCTTCTCTTTAAGTTTGAAGGAAGAGAGATGTACTGAGATAAGATTGTATAGATTAATTTGTTATTCTTTTGTTTGTTAGCTGATATGAGTTGTTAGTTAATATTCTTGATAAGTGTAAATCTTTTGTATTATTTTTAGGATAGTTTAAATATTCTGATAAGATTTTAGTTAAGTTGTTTTGATTTTCTTTTGTATCATGGCTTTATTTAAACAAGCCTTTAGCTGTTCAATCAATCAAGTCACATATTTCAAATATTCTTGTTATGGTATCAGCGCCAAAAGATCTAGGCCTTTCTTCTTCCTTGCTTTGCTAGCCAGAACCATGGCTGCTTCAAGCAAAAATTTCAAAATTACTGATCCTCGTTCTCCTTTTTACACTCATCCTTCCGATAATCCAGAATTCTTCTTACTACAGTTCCCCTCTGTGGTCAGTCCAACTATGATAATTGGGCCAAATTAATCACCTCTGCTCTCAAAGCCAAAAACAAAGTTGGCTTTCTCACTTTCTCACTGGCGACGTAGTCGCTCCAAAGGATGAGCTTTCTGATGAATTTTTCACATGGAATACATGCAATTCAATGCTGAATAACTGGATTCATAACACCATTGACCCTCAACTGCAACCTTTCATCAAATGTTTTGATACTGCCAAGGGTTTATGGGATGATTTGAAGGAATCGTTCTCCATTTCCAATCGTTCTCACTTTCTCAAGAGCAACCTCTCTGCTCTTCGCAAAAAAAGCTCCTCCATGGGCGATTATTACACAAAATTGCGAGCCATTTGGGATGAGCTAGAATCCAGTCGTACTCTCCGTCCATGTTCCACATGAGACGCTTGTGAATTCGAAAAATCCGTAGCTGACGAAACAGAATGGGATCATGTGTATCAATTTCTGATGGGTCTTGATCATGCCTCCTATGGTCATGTCAGAACTCAAATTCTCAACACCAATCCCATTCCTTCAATGAATCGAGTTTTTGCAATGCTTTCACAAGAAGAAACTCACAACTTAATCGTCTCTTCTCATGCTGAACCATCAGAAGCTCTTGGGTATGCGGTACAAACTCAGATTTCGTCCAAAGATGGCGCTGATTCTTCTAAGCCAAGGGTGATCTGCACTCATTGCGGAAAGCCTTATCATGATGTTTCAAAATGTTACCAGCTTCCCGGTTACCCAAACCGCGACGGCAGCAACAACTTCCGTTCAGCACCGCGTGGACGTCACACCGGAGGACGCGGTCATGCTGCCTCTTCTGCCCAAGTTGCGCACACCATCACCACCCAACCAGAAAATTCCACAACCGGTACTGCCTCTTTGCCGAGCCTTACACCGGAAGTGCTTCAACAATTGCTGGCTCTGGTTGATTCTGTAGATATAAGGTATGTTTTGATGATAACAAAGTGGCAACAACAAAAAGATAGAAGTATTGATCAAGAGCAAAAAGCATCAACCATATGTGGATATTGAAGATGTATGATGTAGCCACACAAGAAGAGTGATGTCATATCAAAGTGGCAAGATCACTGGATCAAGAGCAACAAGAAATAATTAGAAGAGCAACATCAAGATCAAAGACAACTAACAATGAACAACATCTAAGAGAAGCTCAATATCATAACCATGGTGACAAATGATCAAAACCAACAAAGTGTCAAGTATTGTCATATTCAACAAGTCAAAGCCTCAAGTTCAGGTAAAGATCCAAGACACAAGACATGAAGCTAAATCTAAAATCATATTTAGAATATATGTGAGGGTATATGATAGATTGCATTGCATGAGCTCAAAGTTTTTCTCAAATTAAACGTGTTTTTCAAATTGCATAATCATAAACTTTATATACTTGAAAGAAATTTGAAAAATCCATGGAAAAGTTCCTTGACATATTTTATAACTTCAAAACATATTTATCTAGTCAAGATCTTTCACAAAAAGTAGTTGGAAGCAAGCTAGAACACATTTGAACTTAAAATTTGTTGCTTAATTTCGCTTCTGTCTTCTATACAATTTTTCGTATCTAAGATGATGGATTTGGATTTTGTGTTCTTCATAAAAGTTGTAGATATATCTTTTATCTTTCCAACGAGACCAAGATCACATCAAGCCGACATGTATAACACAAATTATAGCCAAAATACGAAACAGTGTTGTTGTTGTCAAGTTAGGAAACATATCCCAACGGCTATAAAACGGCTAGTTTTTCAAAAGTAATCCCAACGGCTATAAACAGCTATAAAACGGCTAGTTTTTCAAATGAGATCCCAACGGCTATAAACAGCTAGTTTCCCAACGTCTATAAACAGCTAGTTTCTCAGCAGCTATAAACGACTAGTTTTCCAACGGCTATAAACAGCTAGTTTTCAAATGAGATCCCAACGGTTATAAACGGCTAGTTTTCAATGAAAC